TACTTAAGTATTGAAAGTAAAAGTACAAGTAAATGCGGTTAATAAAAAAGCAAAGGGTCAGAATTTTGAGAATTATGAAGTTTATTCTTTTAAGTGCTGTGGCCACCATGACCAAGGACATGGAGTTGTGTTGAAAATAATTGGGTTGGCTGTGATCCATCCAGGAGCAACAATGTTCAACATAATATATTGTACATAAGTATACTTTTGCATCTACTATGAACTTATCATCATAATTCTCCGAAAAGCAATATGACACTATGAAGGAGTTGTAACAGTGCGTTTATAAGTATGCTCATTCCGACTAGAGGATGTAGAGGGCAAATGCATAATATTGTGTTCAGCAAAAAATATCCACTTGATGCATCAGGTCAGTGTTTTGAGAAAGGACACCTGCCTTGTAAACTCCTATGGGCCTGATTTGAACACAATGGGCAAAGGTTTTGCTCAAGCTGAATCTGCAATTGGGCGACTGCTACCATCATAACTCCATCTGATCATCCACAAAATGACTCAAATATCAAAACATGATCAATACTAAAGCAGCACCGAAAGTAACAACCCAGTCATTACTTGAAACTGAAAAATGTCCTGTTCATCTTCAAAAGAAGTTGGTTTTCAAAATTGCGAGAATTCCGTCTCGCTCTTCTTGCACCATGGCAGCTGGCAAATTCAGATTAAATAGGACCTGTCCTATTGTTGATTGTCAATCAATCAAAATAACATTGTACAAGCTGTGACCATGACAGTTACAATGTCCCATTTGATTAAATGATGAAAACAATTTCAAATTTAATTTAGTTTGCTTTTGGGGTGAATTCCTGTTTGAAGTCTGTCTTTCTAAAACTAATGCTACATCCATACTACTCCGTTTCTACTTGGAAGCAGATTTGTCAAATAGAAACGATCTCTGTCCACACTGGAGTTTCAGCATCATTCTCGAGTTGATCTGCATCCACAAGGCAGCCTTCGAAGGCGGACAGCACGTGACCATTAACGTACACTGGGCATGCGCATGATGGTGTAAACAGGAAGTGGATTGCTTGCTTAGTTAAACAAAATACCACAGAGTAATAAAGTAGTCTTTAATAATGAAAGGTTGTATTTGATACTTAAGATCTTCCTCTATAAACTCAAACAGACACAGTTTCGTGGAAAGGTTTAGAAGTTTTATTTTTCAGACGTAGTTACAGCGCTGCGGCTCTCTCGCTCTCACATCAACTTTACTTTAAAATCAACACTTACACGTAAACGTTTACTAAATTATGGGTCCATAAATGTGGGCAACACACGTCGATCACTCGTTTCCTCTGTGTTGTTGTCTGTTTGTCACTCCTAGCTCTGAATAGCATTTATTGCTCCTGTGGTGTAGCTCCGCCATTGGGGTATTCCTTCATGAGATATGGCATCAGGGGATAAGCTGGGTCACCCAGCAGAAAAACAGGGACAGCATCTTCGCCCTCTATCAATTATTTATGGCATGGGGGAATTGCTCCATCTTTTAGGGCACAACTCTAGCTCTGAACATCATGTAACATGTCCGAGTAGCTAGCTTCTAAGCTAATTTTAACATTACCGCCAATGGGGAAATGCTAACCGCGATTAGCATTAGCGAATATAATATATCTTCGTACATCTTTTCATGCTTCATACAGACATACTTACAGACTAAGGTCTCTCAAGGCTATCAAACGGAAGAAGTAAAACGAAGCAGCGTGTCTTCTCATTAGAATCTAAAAACAACGAGGCACTAACTGTTGTTGTAACGCGTAGCTCTGAATAGCATTTACGGCTAACTGGCTTGGCCACATAATAGGGCTGATGACGCCGCTGGTCACGGCGCTCGCTAATCACCCCAATAACAGCTGCTTCCTCCACAAAAATGCAGACTTTTACTGCACAACAGCTACTAGCTGCTGCTAGCTGTTGTGCTAGCAGCAACGCTTGAAATTAGTTATCCATGTTGAAATGAATTACTGGTCGCCCTGGCTGTTTGTTTTCTTCCGGGGTCATGTGATAGTGAGTGTGACGAATCAGGGACGGAGACGTCATGGCTGCTAATAACCAATCCAGTAGTGAGCACGGGTGTGGGCTCATTTTTTCTAACACACATCCGTTTCCGACCGTCCACGCAACCAAAACCCCGGAGTTTTCAAATACCTCCAACCTCGGGGGAGTTTTCAGACTCCTCCGTTTAGGGTGCTCCAAAACTCCGGCGTAGTGTGGCCGCTCAGTGTAAACGTAGCAAAAACGGAGTAAAAACGGAGTAATGTGGACATGGCCTCAGTGTGACAGCTGTAACAGGTGGTTCCATGCCGATAGCCTGCAGATGGAAATATCCCTGCTTTTAAAAATAAAAAACGATGACTGGAAATGCTGTTTGTGCAACAATTAAATCCACATACAGTATTTGTTATGTTTTTTGTCTCTTTTTATATGCCCCCTTGCTATATCTGTCTGTGTGAAGAGGGTGGTGAGATATGTTTTGCATTTCATGTTGTGTTTTTATCATTAAAAGTTTTTCTTTGAAACTTGACAATTATAAAACAATTAATGCGCATGTGTTCCAACTGAATCCGAATCCAAATACATTAGTTTTAGAACAATGCCTTTGATCACCACCACACTAAGGAGGTAAAGCTATATATGTCCAAAATGACACAAAAGACCAAGGCTTTTACTGAGCTTAATGTCTAGATTTTCAATATAGACAATCAAAACATTAGACATACAGTAAAATGACATGGCATTACTACAACCTCTTAAGGAACTGTTGAAAAAGGTATAAAGGATTATCTTATCATATCATTATTTAACAGTTAGAATATGAGGACATTATGAATATCATGTCATTTGAGCTGACTTTACCTTTAATTTTCTCAAAAACTGTACAGTAATATTTCATGAGATTATTAATGTACATAGTGAGGGTCCTCATAAACAAGAATCCAGTTAAATATTGACATAACCTCTTAAGGATTCATTTTTATAAAATGTCAAATATAGGGAAATTATGAATATCAAAATGTCATTTGAGCTGAATTTACATCAAATTTTCTCAAAAGCTGTACAATAATATCTCATGAAATTATTCATGTACATAGTGAGGGTCCTCACAATCAAGTGAAATATTGACATAAGGATTAATTTTAATAAAATATAAAATATAGGGAAATTATGAATATCAAAATGTCATTTGAGCTGACTTTGCCTTTCATTTTCTCAAAAATTGTACAGTAAAATGACATTACATTTGACATGGAGATATATGGGGTCATCATGAACAGAACTCTAATGGAAATTTTAGCTAACCAATGAAGGAAATGTTTTTTTTAGAGATCAAAGATTATTATTAGGTAATATTATAATTTTCGAACCCTTTTTCAATTAAAGATTACATAGCAGTGTAATTTCAGATTTTATTGTTGTTGGATTTCACTTAATGTACAAAATGACGTTGTTTTTGACTTGTTATATCAAATTGGGCAAATTATTAATGACATATAGGTCTATTTCTGGGCTTTTTGGGCTATCCAAGCACCCGTACCGTAGCACCACGAATAGACGAGCATTACATTTCAAGTGCCGGCTGACGTGACCGAGGTTCCGCGGATGACGGACCACATGACCGCAGT